GTTGTGTCCGCCGAGAACTAAAAAATAAATATTAAAAATTCTCTCTCTCTCTCTCTCTCTCTCTCTCTCCTCTCTCACTCTTTAAAAAAAAAAAGACTGCTTTTAAGCGTAAGATCAGGTTCTAACTACTTAAAAATATTGACTGATAACAGAAAGTGTTCTAAACGTGGCTATTCTGATCCATAGTTTTTTTTTTTAAAAAAAAGGTATTTACAGAAAAAATATAAAAGTTTTTGTGAATTTAATATGTACTTCTCAAATGCTGATTTATAAATTTGGCTTCTTCACATAGTTGCCTTTCTAATTTCAAGATTTGCCATTCTACCTTCAAAGCTGACTATTTTTAATTGTGAAAGGTATTCAACAAATGCAGAAAAAAAAAGCAGCATTTTGAAATTAGTTGAGGTGAATGCAGTTCTACTCTTTGGAATCAGTTTAGCTAAAGGAATCTGGCACTCTTGTTGAATGAAAACAGGAGATGGGAGATACCTACAATTTGACTTTGTGAGGATAAGCAAGACTTACTCATGAGGCCTGGATTTGAGGTGAATTCCAAACTATCATTGCCCTGGCACATGTCAATTACTACATAAAAGTCCAAACATAATGTCAAAACCAAAAACTGCAGAGGAAAGAGTTCAGTTCCCAAAGGAACAGAAATAGTTTAACAGTTTGAAACTTTATCTAGAATATATAAGCATTAAATTAGCACTGCTGAAATGATACATTGAGGATTTACAGTAACACCTGGAAGTTCCCTCTATTGTACATATAAATAGAATCATGGAAGCTTTTTATATTACCTGTTTTATGGCCTTATAGATTTCATGAACCAAATGAAAACTGAAGTCTCCATTCCACATTCCATCCCTTATGTCTAGATAAAATCTATTCTTGTTTTCAATGTAGAGTCTTAAGTGTCCGTATTTCTTATGCCTCATTCAGGAAATCGTGTCTCAATTTTGGGTGTTATCTCTTTTTATCTTATATGTGAAACTCCAGCAGATTTAATATTGGCATTCATCACATATGAAACCCTTCACATGTCCTTCAAACCAATCAATTTGGAATTCTCAACATTTTCTATGTCAATAAAATCAGGTGTGGAATTGGTAGATTTGATGAGGACCTGCTTCTTCCTTGACACACTGGACATCTAGTTGCTATTTCAGATTGGGTTTAGAAGATGGGGAAGTAGAGATGTTTCTTGGCCTGCCTGAGTCTCTAACAGTAGAGATGTAGAAGAGAGAGCAAGATCACAAGAAGACTGGCTGTTGACTGCAGGGCACTGCCACCTGTGTTGGGTGTAGCATTAGTTGAACTGGGAGCAGGAGAGGTACTCTGTGAGGAGTTACTTGAAAGTGTCACAACAGCTGTTTGGTTTGAGTAAATCTTGGTGGGTAGGAGCAGTGCCAGAAGCAGCAGCCCCAGCTCCAGACTGGCCACTATAGCTCTGCCCATGTCTGCTCTGGCAGTGCGCTGTCTCACTAGATTCGAGGAGATAGGATGGCTCCAGGAGTGTGCAGGCAAGGTCTCCTTTGATTCTTTAAAGTGCATTTTTTCCTTAGTCACTTTTGTGTTTGTTATGAAGTACTTTTTCTTAAGAATGTAAATAATTTAATGCAGTAATGAATATGAGACTGCTTAGCTGAAATAATCTCTTATAAGGTCAATCAAATTATATGGTGGTATTGTGCAGAGATGGATCAAAATATTACCACAGAAATCTTCCTATAAAAACTGATCCTTGGTGCTGGGGCTGGGGTCCTCAGTAGCATACTTGCCTGACATATGTGAAGCACTGGGTTAAATTCTCAGCACTGCATATAAATAGATAAAATAAAAGCATATAAATAGATAAAATAAAAGTCTATCAACAAATATATATATATATATATATATATATATAAACATTTTTCTGCATTAAAATAATTTGAGTTGGGTGCAGTGGCACATGCCTGCAATCCCAGCACCTTGGGAGGCTGAGACAGGAGGATCACAAGGTCAAAGCCAGTCTCAGCAAAAGTTCCTGTCTCTAAATAAAATACAAAATATGGCTGGGAATTTGGCTCCAGAGTTCAATTCCCAGTACCCACCCAAAATAATGATAATAATAATAATTTGAGGAGGTTATATATATGTACATTCAAGGACATGGAAAGATGTGTAATATTAAAACTGTGGTCTGATACTACCATACTCATTAGTATGGCTAAAATGAAAAATAATGACGTTGTCAAGTGCAGACAAACATTCGAAGTAACTGTAACTCTTGTTTTTTGCTGATATAATAAATTAGCCACTCTGGAAATGGTTTGCCAGTTTGTATATAGTTAAACATAGCGTTTACCATATGACCCATCTGCTCCATTACTGGTGATTACATTTAAACATGAAAACATAGACACACACACACAGAGACACACACACACACATCTCAATGTTCATAGATGTTCTATTTATAATTACCCAAACTGTAAACTATAAACTTACTCAGTGTCATTCAGTGAGAGATTATATTATGAAACTGATATGCCTATTGATACTATTGAATATGATTTGGCATTAAAAAGGAATGGATTATTAATTAGTGTGCAACAACTTGGATGACTCTTAAAAGGCATGAAGCTGAGTGAAAGAAACCTGTCCAAAAAGCATATATACTGTTTAATTCAATATATAACACTATAACATTCTTGAAGTGACAGAACTTTAGGGATGAAGAACAGATCAGTGGCTACCACAGATTGTAGGTAGGGAGGGCTTCTATAAATAAATGGTACAAAGGAGTTTTATATCTTGATAATGGTAGTAATTATACATATTGATACATATGTTATAATTCATAGAACTGTATGTCAAAAATAGCTTTGCCAGATGATAATTTTAAAAATAAGATTTTTAAAAGTATATATCCTTAGACTTATTCCTCAAAGATTACAATTCATTTATACTGTGAGCTATGGCAGACCACATATGAAAAATTCAGATTCAAACATTAATAGTAAAAAACCTACACCTGTTTTTAAGACTTTTGTCACATCAGGTCTCTGTTGAACTAATAAAAAAGAATGTCCAGAATTTATAAGAATAGAGATAACAGAAGTGTATGTTAAGTGTCTCCTAGGTCCTCACAGAGACCAGAGGTGTGTACCCATTGGGTTAAGTGTACAACCTTCGTGGTTGGAGTAGAAGGTACTGTGTGAACACATTCACCTTCTGAGAAAATTCTTACTGCAGTTACATACTTCCAATGTTTAATTTTTTTCCTGTGCCTTGGTACCCCAGCAGTCTTCACCAAGTCCTGTGTTAACTGGGGTTTATTCAAGGAATCTAGATATAATATAGCACATATATTATTAGTATATTTCAATACAGGATATTTAGACTTTACCTGAAACAAACAGCAGTTCACCAATATGGTTTGTACAGAACATCTCCAAACATATTCTTTCTCTTTGAGCTCTATTCTTAAATATTAGAAATTAAATAGGTGAAGTGTCTTCTATCCCTTCCTTTGGCATGTAAAGGAGCTGTTATTTATTAGCAAACACTCCACAGCAGACTTCATCCCAACGTCTTTCCTTATTCGTAAGAAGTGATTATAGGAATATTGACCATAAGAATATTGCTTGTCTGAAAAGATAAAGGCTGATTCAGTTAGTGTAGTTGGTTGTAAAGTATGTGATAAAATGATTTCTACGGGCTGACTACATTGCACCAAAATAAAACAAGAATATGCTTCTTTTGAATTTGAAAGGAGATAGTCTGGATAGTCTTTGTTACATATGTGTGTATTTTGTTTTGAATTTAAGGCTTAAAATGTGCAAGTTGTTATTTATTTAGCTAGCCACTAGATGGTGTGGTTTGCTAAAAGTTTTACCATTCCCTCAGCTTTAGAATTGAAACCAATTTCATGGAGTGGGAGCGATTTTCTTAGATCTTTCGTAGTTAATTAGTATAATTATCTTAGAAGTTTAAAATTGTAAGTAACCTGAGAGTTAGATAATCAGTGTAGCGTAATCTGGACTAGAATCCTAGTCTTACAGAAATCTCACTCCCTGCTGATACAGTGTTTCTTACATAAAAGTATGGGGGGAAATGTTCTTAAAGCTCTTCAATTGTTGATAATGAGATTTTTTTCAGAATAATAACTAACACATAGCATGATACCCAAAAGAAGCTTTGTCTGTATAAACCTTTTTTAAATGTTTATCTGGAATTTTTAATTTTCCAAAAATGTGTTCTCTAGTATACAGTAAGTCTTTATTGAAAATTTTTTGGATCTTCTGCTGTAGCACTTATACGTATTGCAGGTAAGTGTACTAAATCCCATATCTGAGCTCAGACCAGACCAAAGAACAGACACCATAAGTGAAATCAGTACACGCAGCTAATTGTAAAGTTGAGGATCCAGGACAGGTGGTCAGTTCTATCCCATCAAAGCTCACCATAAACAAAGCTGTAGGTGAACAGTGTTGGGTTTATTGACTCATCACAATGATCAAGACCATGGAAGCATCTGAGTAAGAGGAGCAAGTCTTCTAGGTAGTGGATCTGGAATAGAAAGTAGGTTTGATTTGTCAAAAAAGAGATTTCAAGGCTGTGGTGGGTAGTGTAGGTAGGTGGGGTTAAATTATGGGAATTAAGTTTTTAGGCCCTTGTATTGTAAGGACTCCAGCCTTATAGGGAGTTGGGACACAGGTTTTTGCTTATTTTTAAAATAGTATTTTTGGAAGAATAATAAACAGGTAATACTGATTAATTGCAAGAAAGGACAGCTAGATAAAGGAGGCACTTGCTTTTTACTTCATTCCTTTTGAATTTTGTATCATGTTCTTTTGAATTTTGTATCATGATCTTATATACTAAGATTCAGTCACGTCCTTGGATACTTAATTTTATGCTTTTGTTGATAAACTCTTTTAGCAGCTATGTTAAATAGAAACTGCTTTTAAATGCTAAATAATGTTTTTATGTTTTGTTGATATCTATTCTAGGTGCAAAAGTCAAGAAATAAGCAAGTACGAGAGTTATTCCCAGATGGTTTTAGTATTCATCATGCAGGAATGCTTCGGCAGGACAGAAATTTAGTTGAAAACTTGTTTTCCAATGGTCATATCAAAGTCCTAGTCTGTACAGCTACGTTAGCCTGGGGTGTCAATCTCCCTGCTCACGCTGTTATTATTAAGGTAGGAGCTTACCTTCTTTTGATACAGATTTGTGTGTGTGTTAAAACAAATGTATGAATTGATTTATTTAGAAAAATATTGTGATTCAGCTGTTTCTTTGACATTGAATGTTAATTTATATAAGGGAAAAATATTTTCTCCAATAAAATTCAGTTTATATTGTAAAAATTTAACTATCACAGATGATGAAGGGATTAGTTAAAGTACACTTCGAGATCTTACTGTATTTGCCCAATTTCAGTATTCAGCTCTTCAGGATTATATTTATGTGTACTTATGTTAATTTTTATTAACTTTTTCTTATCTAGGGAACACAAATATATGCTGCAAAAAGAGGCTCCTTTGTTGACCTTGGAATTTTAGATGTCATGCAGATATTTGGCCGAGCTGGACGACCACAATTTGACAAATTTGGGGAAGGAGTCATTATAACAACACATGATAAACTCAGCCATTACCTCACTCTCCTCACTCAACAAAACCCAATTGAGAGTCAGTTTCTGGAAAGTCTTGCAGATAACCTAAATGCAGAGGTAAGATCTGATCAGTCAAAAGTTGGGATAGAATCGTCAGCTTTAAGAATAACGATAAAGGTTGTGTTGGTTTTTACTTTGTAGTATTTAGGAATACAGATTATGCCATATAGTCATAAGACAAAAGAGGCTGGGGGGGGGCCAATATTGTTGATTAACTCACAGCAGTATAAATGTAGACAACAATACTGACAGGAACTCATTGTTAAATGACCACACTTTCAATCTATGAGGTTTTACTATAGATCAGAAATCCAATCCAAAGTTTACAAATAAGGGAAACATAAATAGCAATAACTGATATTTTTAGTGCTGAATTGATGATTAATATTTGTATGAAGTTTTTCTAAGTTTTATGAAGCTTTCTTGTCTTTATTAGGTCATTTGATTAACTTTGTTATGTAAAATGTGATTGCCTAAATTGAGCGAGAGTATAATCTTTTATTTCAAATGTGTGTGTGCAGGCATGTGGGAGTGTGTGGGGGGAGACTTTAATAATAGGATTTAAATAATGGACCTGGAAAGCATAGGTAACATCTCAACTGGTAAAAAAAAATAAACATTTTTACAATTTAGAGTATATATATCAAACTTTCAAATGAATGTTCAAAATTCAGTGCAATGTTTTCATGACATTTTTAATGACTGCACAAGTATTCAACACTTTTCTACCTCAGTATCCTTTTTTTTAAAGTTAACTCAAATAATTTAGATAACTTAGGTAAGATGTAAATATTGAATAAATGAATGAAATATTCACAATCATATTCACAATCAAATATTACTTATTGTGTGCAAGTCTATATGGAGTACTTCTTAAATAGCTTATAGAAATTCTATTCGGGTTATTTACAAGACTGTTTATAAAGAGAATGAAAGACACACTCTACATTATGTAGTTCTTCTGTTAAGAAGCATATAGTCCAAAAGGAGAAAAAAAGACATGGAAAGAAAATGACAACTTCCATAGAAGTACTTGGTAGAAGGAGAAAATATGTTTGACCTGGGATTATCAAAAAAAAGCTTTTTTCATGATGATAGTAAACTTAGTCTGAGTTCAGAGGATAGATAAGTTTTGGAAGATAAGTTTGAAAGTAAGAAAAAAAGCATGAAGAGCACTGGTTTACCTTAATAAAATTACAGGAAACAAAAAGAGATTAGAAAATAAAATTTGACTCCAAAGAAAATATTATCATAGCTTAATTTTGGTCCTCATTGCCTACCCTGATTGCATTGGGTAAGTAATTAGGTCTGGGCCAAGAGTGTTTATAATGGGATAAAATCTATTACTGTAAAGTGATGGTAATAGTAGCATAGGCTAGAGACTGCTGGGTGCTTCATGTACATTCTCTTATTCTGTCAGACCTGCTAAGTAGATATTATCCTCAGAGAGATGTGTAACTGCCCAAGGTCACTAAGGTATAATTTTTAGAAATAATATTCAAACTGAGGTCTATTTAGCTCTAAAGGAGATCTTTTTATTGTTGCTTAAGACTTCTGTAATCTTATTAAAAATGTAATAAGTTAAAAAAATACATTACCCTACATTAGGATTCTCCCTTCTTTTCTTCTAAAACCTGAACTAAACATTTTCCAAAATGGTAGCCATAATTTCTCTTACATTTACAATAAAAAAGAAAAAATAATCCTGTTTTTCTAAAATTTTGCTTAAAGAGCATGTCAAGGAATACTAAATCTTAGCAAACCTAGAATTAGTTCTTGATAGTTTTTGTAAGTGGTAGTCACAATGTGTTGATGTGTTTATGCAGAAGACACAAAGTAAGTAAAACAATGCTCTTGTCCTCAGGGAACTCTTCCCTGGGGACAAAAAAGTAGCACCAGTGAAACTGTTTGATCTAGCCCTCCGTATAAAAATAGTCCTTAAGTTCATCTCATATTAATTAACGTACTTGCTAGAAATGTCATTTTCATAAATGTCAACACACTCTGAGCACAATTCCATTTAGTGATATAAAGGGCATTTAAATAATGAAACACATAGATTGAAATTTTTAGTTACTATAATGAAGTATAGCAATTGCTAAGCTTGCTTATATCGTGGTTTACTGGAAGAGCTCCCTGTTACAGTAATTTTTCCTGTTAATGAAACAAACTCCTTTAAATTATAGTTGAATGTGAAATTAAACTTAGTCATCTGTACACATCAAGTGTGAAATTGGTTTATAACATAAATCTGTGCTGCATTCTTAAGATAATGGATTTTTAAGTCCTTAGACTGCAAAAAATCTTTGAAAGACTCTAAAATATCACTAATCAACATAAAGGTTATGTTAGGATAGTAATGTTGCCCTTATTAATATATTTGATTTCATGAATATCAATTTTGACCATGAATTTAGAGAAACTGGAGAAAATATTTTATGAAGAATAATTTAATGCAAACATTTTATGAGACATCTTTGCTGATTGATGCCTAATGGGGCTAACTCCATAATGCTAAAGTTGAGAAGTAATAAATCCCTTTCCTATAAAGAGCCACTTAACTTTGCACTGGGAGAAACACTGATATATGTGTTTCAGGCTAATTAAAATGTATTCATGTTGCTCAGTGTATATTCTGTTCTAATCCCTATATTCTATACTTTATAACTTTGTTAATTATTCTATATCCTAACATACATTCTTTGTGTACAAAGAGTTCTTGTCTCTTCAGGATGTTGTACATATACTGGCTCTTGAGTTAAAACTTCCACTGTCTACTTTTCCCTCTTCCATTACTCCTCAACATAGGCCTTCTGCCCTAGGAAGCTATTACTCTACTCACTTCACTTAGAAAGGCCCAATTTTCTTTTTTAATGAAATATAGATGCTCTCATTGTGAAAATTCAATAAATGCCTCTTCCAAGTTGGTAGGCAATATAGTATCACTATTTTCTGATAATCCCTTCATATGTAGCCCTACTTAAGCAGTTCATATATAGGTATAAATATATATATGTATCTATATATACATACATGCTCATGATTATATTTGCTTATTTAGTTTCTAAAAACTATATAAAGTTGATAGAAACCATATGAATGGTTTTAACTAGTTTTTTAAAACACATATAGTAAAAATAAATAAGATAACCTTAAAGACTAAAGTTTAAATAGATAAATATGAAGTGACACTTGAGTCTGATTTCTGAATTACCAAATTTGGAGTGGATTTTATTTTTGTTAAAGAAAAATAAAGTTTATTACACTATACACTAATGCCACTTTTACATGTTATATTTTTGAGTATCTGGTATGTGCTAGCCTCTGTGGATGTTGGGCTTCTATTTGTCATCTTAATTACTTATACATGTCTCACCTCCATGACTAGAGAAGTGAGGTCAGGGACCATACTATTTGTTACCATATCCATTGTACCTTAAATAATATACAGGCTTTTTAGTGACTTGTTATGATTATGGAGATAAATGAATAAATTTCAAAAAGAGGGAGTATGGAAAAAATACTTGTTTTATGAAAGGCTCCTGTATCAGATAGCCACTAGGGGACAGCAAATATTTTCAAGAAAATTTTTATTTTTGTCACTAGGTGGCATTCAAGGATTAGTCTCAAAATAAGGTGTAACATTTATTATTGTAAAATAAGGTGTACATTTATTTTTCTGGATAATCTCTTCCCTTTTAATGAATTATTAGAAGATTTCCATTACATGATCTAATTTTTGATACCTACTTTCTCTTCTAATCTTATAACTAATAGTAATAGGTAATTATTAATGTTTATTTGATAAGTCTGATTTTTAAATTGTCCTTTATAAAATTTTTGTCTCTTGAGATTTGTATAGTATTTTAAAAGAGCATCATAAGGTCAAAAGGGAATGAATATAGGTTGTTATTTTAAAGTAATAACATAAAGTAATAAGGGAATATATGGGTTATATGACAATACAGTTTGACTTGCAAATAATGAAATCAGAAATAGGTGAGACTGTCAGCTATTTATCCGTATCATCAAACTAGTTTTATTTATCTAAGCAGACTGGAAAAACTGTTTAAACATCCTACACAACTCTCTTATTGCCTTAATTTTAATTCTTGCTGCTTTTCATTTTCTGAAAAGCCTTACAGTTTAGATTTAGGAAATGTACTTATTTACCTATAGTATGGATGGCTTGGTCATTTTTAAGTAAACTAGTGGAAATTTAGAAGTAAATAGGCAGAATCTTCTTACATATTTTTACTTTTGGTTGTCCCACTTTTTAAATAACAAATACTATGATGTAATATTACAGTGAAAATTATATGCTGCTGTATCTCATCTTCAATTTACTTAAATGTACACTTTTGTGTTGTTGTTGTATTTTGTTTCGTTTGGTGCTCAGGATTGAACCTAGGACCTTCTGCATGCTAATCATGTACTGTACCACTCCCAGTCCATCTACATTTTTATTTCACAAAAAAGTTATATAGAATTAAAAATTATAATATAGGGATTAAATCAAACATGAAGATTTTTATTTTCTTCAATATTAGTACAAAAAGTGGCAGCATTTGTTTTCCTTTTTTCCCCCCTCCTGTGAATAAAAAAAAAGGCTCAGGAACAAATTTATAGCTGTCAAGTTTCACAACTTTAGTTAATTGTTAAAATAAAAAGGGTACTTTAAGTAAAAGCAGAATTACTTCCTATAAATCCCTTGCTTAAGGAACTATTTTAAGAATACATCTCATTAAAATTCTGCATTAATATCCTTATCTAATCATTTCTTTCTCTTTATTACACAGATCTTATATTTATTGTTGTGTTCTAAATTATTAACCTTTGGTTTTATTTAATAAATATCACAAATCACTTCAAATGCTAAATTAAACATTATATTTCCTTTCTGAATATAATCTAAACAATCATCCAATAATTACTTTGGTTCAAATGTTTAAATATCATATTTTCCCATTGCTTGTTTAAGTTTACCAATTTAAAAAAAACACCCTATTCTTGTATGATTTTGAAAGCATAAATATTAATATGTCTAAATACCAATAAATTTGCTTTGTTTTGTGCAGAAATAATTGCATTTTCCATTATATGCATATTGTATGTTTATACTGGCAGTCCTCTGAATGAGTATCTCTAAAGGTAAAAACTACCATTGTACCTTCTATGGTTTTATTGATGACAGTGCACAGAATCAGGATAAAGATCAACAGAATTAATATTTTGTTATTTTTTTTAATAATGTTGAGTTTTATTTTTGAATCTTTATTCATTTTATTTATTTTTTTATGTGGTGCTGAGGGTTAAGCCCAGTGCCTCACATGTGCTTAGACAAGTGCTCTACCTACAACCCCAGCCCCATATTTTGTTATTTTTATTCTGGTACACTTACATTTAAACATATTCAGTAGTTTTATTATATAAAATGAAACTAAAATAAAATGGATACAGAATATGAAAAAGAATTAACAAATGTCAAAAATGTCCTTAATACTATGTAGACTTAAAATCCATACAGGGAAAAATAACCAAATGTCATCATTGAGTAAGTTCAGTTTGGGAAGATAGCATTTCCAATGTATTATTCTCAATGAAATAAAGAGGACTGCTGTTTTCGTTAACTGAGAAGTCATTTCAGTGATTGTGCTTACCTTCTTTAAATGTAGCACAATGATCTATTTTGAAAACTTAATTTCTGGCAGAATGACCTTTGCTATAATGTTTGTTTGACTTTAATGCATTACTTTAATTTCTGTTGTATTTTTGATTTGCAGATTGCTCTGGGAACAGTCACAAACGTGGAAGAAGCAGTAAAGTGGATAAGTTACACTTACCTTTATGTACGGATGAGAGCAAATCCATTAGTGTATGGCATCAGTCACAAAGCTTATCAGGTATAAAACTCAAACTCATTTATTTAAAAAAAAAAAAAAAACCTCAAACCTTCTTTTTGGTTCTGTAATCCTTTCATGATGTGAGGATAAATATTTGCTAGTGTTGCCTCATCTGAAAAGAGTTATGGACCTAGAAGAAAAATAAAGAGCCTTAATCGTTTTTTAAAATACACTAAAGAAAATTAAATTGGTTCCTTGTAATTATTTTGCTTTATTTAAATCTCTTTTCCCATTAATAATGTTGATATTTTGTATCATTCTATTTTTCAGGTATATTTCTGTTAGATGTTAATATTTCACCATGATTTTTTACTCTGATACATTTAGTTTTAGAAATAACCAGATATAAGGAAACATATAGACCATTTTTAAAAATAGGCTTGTTATATACAATCTACTCCTCCTGTCATGTCCCTTCTATGCCCTATAGTGAGATTAAAAGATAGCATTAATGCATTATTGTCTTAACAGTTTAAAGTTTGAAGTCAGTTTCATGATTCAATGTGTATGCATAGACAGAAATTTAGATACATGTGATAGCAGGTCTTCCTATGAGCTTTATAGTTGTGTGGTCCATGTGGCTTACAGATCTTGTCTTTTCTTTAGAACTCTGCTTTATATACTGTAAGTGCTTCCTAATTACAGATAAAATTCAGTTGTAATGTCAAAAAAACATTATTTCACCATCTTCATATGATGTTTACTTCTGTTAAGTCAAAATTATTAAAGAGGTTGAGTCTAACTCAAAATTACAGTTTTTCTCTATTTACCAATACACATACACACAAATATTGTATTGATAAATACACATACATATGCATTGTGTGTGTGTATTGGTAAATGCATATATATAAATATTTGTGCATTTGTTATCAAAGCAATTGCCAAACTTTTGGGGTTTTTCTTTCATTTTTCCTTTTCTTGTGCAGTAGATTTTGCCATGGAAGAGTTGAAACTTAAGACTTAGGGGGAAAAAATTAAGAATAGTAGTAGCAACTAGTTCTGAAGCTGGTAATCTGAAAATCTTAGGTTTTTATACTTGGATCTTCTTTACATAGAATTCCACTACTTTTCTGCTTCTCAGTTAAAATATGTGCTGATCTTCAAATGGATGTCTTATTTTATAAGCGATTTGTTCTGTTATAAAATATAACTGCATTATAATCTGATTTTATACATTTTTATATTTATTAATTTTTAACTGGTACTCTATAGACACACATGAAGGTGGGATTCACTGTGGGTTATTCATACATGTGCATAGCATAATTTGGTCAGTTTCTTCACTCAGTTCCTCCCTTTTCCATCCCTTTTCCCTTCCCTTTGTACCTTTTATCTACTCCACTGATCTCCTTTCTATTTTCATGGGACATTGCCCTCCCCCTTTCCCTATTTTTTTAGTTCCTTAGTTATCTATTGCTTCCACATATGAGATAAAACATAAGGCCATGACTTTTTGAGTCTGGCTTATTTCACTTAGCATGATGTTCTCCAGTTCCATCCATTTGCCAGCAAATGCCATAATTTCATTCTTCTTTATGTCTGAATAAAACTCCATTTTGTACATATACCATATTTTCCCCATTTGTTCATATGTAGATGGATACCTGAACTGGTTACATATTGTGTAATATTGTGAATATTATTGTGAATATTCTATTGTGAATTGTGCTGCTGTGACCCAGCAATCCCAAAAGACCTTGCACTTTTTAAATAATGTATCTCTAAATGTTCTCATCACAAATATGATCATTGTGAGAATAGTCAAAGGTACAATGAAAATTTTCTGAAGGACTAAAAATAAACAAGTATATGTATTTTCATGGGCTAAATATCCCTTGGAATAAGATAAACACATCAATTGATTTTTAATATCAAAAGTTTTTTGCAGTATAATGAAAACTTTAAAACAGTTTTCTGGTATTTAAAAAAGGGAATTTTATTTCATTCCAGGATTCATAGTTTTACTGCCTTTACAGTTCTACGTCTTAATTTTTTCTTTAACTTATATGTTTTGATTTTGTTGCTCTGTAAATTTGTATCCATAGAATTCTTATAGACAAACACAAATCAAGTAGTTTGGACCTGATATATATAGTATCACTTATTAGCAGATATTTGCTGATAATACTCTTGATGCTATGTTACTTATCTGCAGTTAGTTTCCTTTTGCCTCATTTTTCTGATTTTTAAAACTCTTTAAGCTGCCATAAAGATCTAAGTTAAAACAAATGGCAGAAGTATTAACTCATTAGATTTCTAAGGAGTTTTACTACTTCTCCAACAACCCCATTAAAGGTCATATTTTACATAATTGCTCATAACAAGAGATTAATCTTCAAGACTTAGATGTGTATGGTTGTGCACTTGTACAGTATGATTGTGCATGTATATACATAGCAACAAGAATATTTGTTAGTATTTTGTATTAAATATCAATTTATACTTAGAAAAAAATTATAATAGTTTTAAAACTATATAAAAGTTCACTGTCAACTTCATTTTATTCTTTGTTTCTATTATTATTATAGACAAAATGGATTTTTCCACCAACAGTTGTGAAAATTACTAAAATAATAGTATTGTATTTTTAAGGGGATAACCATGCATTTATTTTTATGTATTTTATCTTTGACAGGGGAAAGCATTCTTGCCATCATATCTCCAAATGACTGATAAAATAGAAGTATGGTTTGGTAATTTAAAGTGCCTGTTTAAGTGTGGGAAGGAGAAGATGGTGTTTTTTTTTTCTCCTTATATCTGATTCCCTGTGTCTATAACCTTAAAGATTATAAGACCAAGGAAGAATAGTATTGGTATCTAAAGAGACTGTACAGATTGATAATTTTATTATCCAAAAGACTATGTGGATTGATAATTTTAACGAATTTTAAACTTTCTTTATTTAATCAAATAAAATCTTTTCTAGTTGTTTCTTAAATGTATAGAATGTACTTCAGAAATTATAATTGAAAAATCTCTGATCAGCAGCTTCAATACTGGGTATATACCCAAAGGAAATGAAATCAGAATGTTGAAGAACATCTGTACTCCTGTGTTCATTGCAGCACTATCCGTATTTACAAAGAAATGGAAGCAGCCTAAGCATTCATCAGCTTATGAATGGATAAAGAAAAATCTAATACCTATACACAAATGATGCATTATTCAGCTATAAAAAAAGACTAATATATTGTCTTTGCAGTAACAGGGATGGAACTGGATATCGTTAAGTGAAATAAGCTAAGTACAAAAGAACAGGTACCACCTGATCGAATTCATGTGTAGGATCTCAAAAAGTTGATCTTACAGAGGTTGAAAGTAGAATGGTGGTTACCAGAGGCTGGAGAGAGGGATGGGGAGAGACTGATCAATGAGTACTAAGTTTTTACCATAAATAAATGATAAATGTTGGAAAGACAGTTGTATTTAATCTGTTTTAAATATTGCACAAATATATTTTTGTATTGAAACATCACTTTATACCATTGATACATATAATTTTATGCTTCAAAGTACCAGTTCAAAATTTAGTTTTTAAAAGTCTAACTAAAACATGAAGAAAAAAATTTAACTTCCATAAATGGGTATTTGTTTGCAGGTGAGAGTTTTTTTTAGAATTCAAGTGTTTATATTTCTTTCTTATAGATTGACCCAACATTAAGAAAGCATCGAGAACAGTTAGTCATTGAAGTTGGACGAAAACTAGACAAAGCTCAGATGATTCGTTTTGAAGAGAGAACTGGTTATTTTTCCTCAACGGATTTGGGTAGAACTGCCAGCCACTATTATATTAAATACAATACCATTGAGGTAATATTCTGAGAGGAACAACTGCAAAAATGTTTATTTTTACAGACAAATACTTTCTAGACTTCAAAATATATTAATAATGCCAAATAACAAAAGCAACTTATGAGCAAATACACTTAGTTTATATGAATTCAGCAATATACTTTCAGTAATGACAAGGAAAAAAAAATGACTTTAGATAGCAATGGTGCTCTCCTGCCATCCTGTTTCATGAACATATCCTAAACACTACATACACCTGAAATAGTTGAAGCCTATGGGTGAGTCTTATGGAGTGAATGCCAGAATGATTTTAAGCTGGAGGTGATAGCTTAATGATTTCTTTGAATAAAAAGTTGAAAATTTAATTGTATGTTAGTAAGAAACACTAAAGAAGAGTTTAAGAAACTACTAAAATTGCCAAGTCAGCCTGTTTGTACTAGATGATTATTAAGGAACTTTTAAGGCCAATTTTGACCATACAATTATAAGAGAATTTGTTGCTTTTTAACAACTTCCTGTTTAAGATGATCTGATACTTTAATATTTTTACTTTTAAAAAGCATATACATGTGTTTTCATGTACATATATCAGTACATGTCAATACAATGATAACCCGTTGGGAGAATACTTAAATTTGAAGAGATTGAGATAGGTTAAGTTAAGTTGAATTTTTATACTTTTTTCAATAGATAGTCAGTGTGTTTGGAGTTTTTTCTTAAACTCATTTTTGCCTTTTGTACATAAAGTTGTTTTTAAAATAGGAGAATAGAAATCATCAAAAAGAAAAACTCAGTTTATATGAAATCTCGGGTTTGTAGATTTAATATTTGCTTATATATAAAACAGGTTTCAGAGAAACACCTTTATGTGCTTACTGGGTTTTCCTCATTTTTTTAGAATAACCTATAAGTGTATGACACTAGATTTCTGCAAGACCTCTTCATATATTATCTTGGAGCTGTGATTTGGTGGTTCCTCAATCCCAGACCTAGTCCTTCACTCCTTATATCACCTACTCTCATCTCTCATTGTCTCTATGAGACAGCCTTTCTCATTTGTCCTCTTGCTAGTAGACTGCTGCCAAATTACACCTTAACACTTTGTTTTTTGCAGTTCTTTTTCAGCAACTCTAGCCTTGTAGTACCTTTGTCTTTTCCGTATGGCCTTTAACTGATTTTTCTGTGTATTCTCGCTATTCATATTTTGAGACTCTGTGAATTGCATGTTGTCTAGTTATTTCCCTCTGAGTTCTATATGATATATGTGAGCTTATAATTAGTAAATGGCACAGATTTCCATATGCCTATACTGAGGTCAAGACCAGAATGTTATGTTGAATATTTTTAGACATTTAGTATAGATTTCATTAGATGATTTTACTGATCTTTTTTTGGTTCTAATGGCTTTCTAACTACGTTTAGGAGTGTTTTTTAATCTTTCATAAATTTGATAATATCTTTGGATCTTCTATTTTAATTAAATGTGACACTTACTTTGGTAGACCTTTAATGAACTCTTCGATGCTCACAAAACAGAAGGTGACATATTTGCGATAGTCTCCAAAGCCGAAGAATTTGATCAGATCAAGGTAAGATCACTTGAAGTTTCAGTCAGATATGTACAACATAGACACATTTATTCATTTATGAAAGTTTGAAATTAATTGTTATTCCTGATACAATATAAAAAAGGCATATGGCATATTTGGAGTATCAGCAGTGTTTTCTACAAGAAAACTCAGTGTTCTAGATAATAATATCATAGCATACCTAACATCATGCTTTGCTTTGTATCCCAAATCAAGAAATTTAAATAGGTTTTATATGAATGAATTTATCAAAAAATATATTGTATATGTTTTGGTTTATTTGCAATATAGTTCACTGAAGAAAATGTTAAGTAAATGCATGATTCAAATTAATACAGAAATGAATATTTCTGTACCCATATTATAATTTAATGTTATTAACAGTGAAAACTTTAATACTTTGAAACAGTACTTCACAACTTTAAGCTATGAATGCATTATACCATATAAAAATATATGACTGTAATGAATGCATTTGAAGATAATCAAGTTTGCCCTAATCAGTTTGGGCAGAGGTTTTACTCTGGTAAAATAAAAAATGAAACCTCATCACTTGAAGGATGGTGAGGTCAGATGACTTAATTTTTTATGTGTCAATGACAACTTTAATATTGGTGATAAACAATAAAATATAATTATACCTGCCTCAACATAATTTCATATTATATTTTATAATTTACCTATGGGAAAATTACTGGGTTTTAGCTGTACAAGAGTAAAATATTACATTATACTAAAAGGCAACCTTAAAAACATGCAATGTGGTTTTTCAATAAATTAGACCAAATATTACTATAAAAAAATTGACTCTTCTAGGTCAGAGAAGAAGAAATAGAGGAGTTAGATGCTCTATTAAACAATTTTTGTGAACTCTCAGCTCCTGGAGGTGTAGAAAATAGTTATGGGAAAATAAACATCTTACTTCAAACTTACATCAGCCGAGGAGAGATGGATAGTTTCTCCCTTATATCAGATTCTGCATATGTTGCACAGGTAAGAATCTTACTCCCCATTTTCTCTTCTTTGTTTATCTCTAGAGACCAAGGAATTAATTCTGTTATCCTGTGAATACATTACTTTGAGAAATTCTATGAACTACTGTTTCTCCTTAGAATTAAAGATATTGATTTGTACATCTTTTATGTAACCTGTGCTTGTAAATCAGGACTGGGGGTGAAAGTTAGTGGTTGGTTTGGCTTAGTAACATATCTATCTTATATAAGGCCTAATATATATATTCCAGTATGATAGGTCTCTGATTTTAAATATTGAATACTGAAAGAAAATTGTTCCCTAAACCTACAGCTCATTTAATTTATAACTTTTAAAAACTGCTATTGTAAAAAAATTCTTCATATATTTAAACCATCGTGTGAAATAAAATAAGTTATTTTTTGTCTTCTTTGTCTTTCATTTTCTTTTCTTTTTTTGTTTTGTTTTGTTTTGTTTTTGGTAATACTACAGATTGAACTGAGAGGCTCTCTACCACTGAAATATATCCTCAGTCCTTTCTTACTTTTTTCTTTTAATTATTTATTTTAGTACTAGGGAATGAAACCAGGGGCCCTAAATCACTGAACCACATCTCTAACCCTTTCTAATTTTTTATTTTGAAACAGGGTCTTACTAAATTGCTCAGGGCCTAGCTAAATTGCTGAGAATGGCTTTGAACATGCAATCCTCCTTTCTCAGCCTCCCACACAAGGACACTTGGCTTTATTTTTTCCTTTAAGACAAGGTCTTGCTACGTTGCTGAAACTGACCTTGAATTTATGATTCTCCTCCTCAACCTCTGGAGTTGCTGGGGTTGTAGGTGTGTGCCACCATACCTGATTCCAAGCATATATTTAAAACAAAAATTCCTAACCTTTAAAGTATACATTTTTATTATTTTTATTTAGAAATACCTTTATTAAGTTGAGAATTAAAACTTTAATCTTATATAATTACGTTATCTCATGTAATTATTCTATTATATTTGTAATTTTATTCAAAGATTTAATATAGAAAAAGTATGTTCTTAATTTTTTTGTTTTAAAATTCTTATTTTTATTTAAATGTAATGAATAGTGTTGTTGGGTTTTAAAATTTTATTTATTTATTTTAATTAGGTATACAGGACAGAAGAATGCATTTTGATTCACTGTACACAATTGCAGCATAACTTTTCATTTCTCTTTGATTGTACACGATGCAATGTCACATCATATGTGCAGTCATTTATGTACCTAGGGTAATAATGTCCATCACATCCCACCATCTTTCCTTCTGCCTCCATATCCCCTCTCCTTCCCTCCCTCCTCTTTGCCCAATCAGAATATCTCCATTTTTCCCATGACCTCCCCCATTATGGATCAGCATCCACTTATCAAAGAAAACATTCGGTCTTTGTTTTTGGGGGATTGGCTTACTTTGCTTAGCATGATATTCTC